AATAAATTTCGAAGTAAGCACTCGTTAGCACGAGTCATATTAAATGAAAGTAAAAACCAATCAAAATCCGGTAAAAGCGGATTTAACTCGTTGTCGCAACTTGGTCTGGTTGTCAGGGCGACCTAGGAGAACGCACCTAGTCCGAAGTCGTCTGCTATAGTTGTTTTCATCATTCCCAGCATAAGACAATCGACTTGGTACATTCTCACACGTTTCGCCGGCATCGTAGTCGGCATCATCAATGAGTACCGCCATTCTCCGCACCAAGCTTCGAACTCGTCAAAGAGACAAGTAAAGTCATTCCTTTGACAAACGTTCTGCCGAAAATGGTTACACTATCACTTCTCTTTCTGTCCTGGCCTATCTATCTACTCTTTATCCTCTTATCCTCCTGCCACCCTATCACAAATTCTTACTTGTTTACATTTCACTCGTCAAAATGTGTGACAAATTTGGTGTGACCTCATCACACTTGCTATTTACCCTCTCTTTTGATCGGTCAACCCGACTCGTGCATAAAATCCGAATCCCCTCATGGTCTCGTATATCCGTTCCTTATCTTTATGGTTGACCAATTTCACTTGATTCCAGTCCCAGTGTACATTTCACTTCAGGCGCTATTTCCCAAGGCCCTATAAGCACGTACACTGCCACCTCACCGAGCAGAGCGCCAGGCTCTGATTCCCATGCTTGCAGATATCAGGCATTCCCTTCATTGGTCGTCTCTGGTCTCATGTGGCATCTCAAGTGGATTTATAGTACATTTTGGCCATTGCACCGAATTTCTCTGACAGTTTAGTTATCTGTCTGCCCAGCTCCCTGACTGCCAGGCCCCCAAAGTTGTACTGATTTTTTCGAAATGGACATCACCTACTGACAACGTCCTCGCTTGATCGCCGAAAACCATCTCCCCCTATTTTCCTCATCACGATCCCTTTTCCTCCAGTAAGCGATAGATCTCTGATCCAGGCGTCTCCATTTTGCTGGTCTTGCTCTATTCTTCTTTTACCCGAGTTTGCTTGGGCAGTAGGCAAAATTATCACTAACTCTATCTTTCTTCAATCTTCTGTTCATTAGATTTTTCTCCTCAAGCAGGTCAAGGGCCTCCCTAATCTTCCGCTTCTTTGTGTTGTTACCGTATGGGGCTCTTCTTTCTGTTGCCTTCCAATTGATCTCATGTCCAGTCTGTGCGATGTGTTTAGCTAGTTCTGATCTTTCGGTATCCATTTTCCTGCAGAGCCTGTGATGTTCCTTGATTCGTGTGCTAATTTTTCTCCTTGTTTCGCTAATATATTTTTGCTTGTAGGCGCC